AGAGAGAGAGAGAGAGAGAGAGAGAGAGAGAGAGAGAGAGACCCACGCAGCATTATCTTTTTGCTCGCCTCATAAATATCTGTGTATAGTGTAAAGTCTAGGCCTAGGGCAGAGGAAGGCCCGGAAAGCTCCTGGTCCTTTCCCGCATGCTTTTCTTGACTTTGCTGACGTCATAAAAACCGTTTCTCGATTCCGCACTCTTTACACCTATGTTAGTTTCTTTGACAGGCAATTTATAACACAGAAGACAACTGCTATGTTTTATAGATAATTAGGCCCCTAATTAATGAACGTTGGTTGTTTTTTTTCCTGGAGGGAGTGTTGTGTTGAAATATCCGTGTTGTTGGTTGATTGCGTCGTCGCTTTTACGTCAGGCCCCTAGGCCTATAACCTATTGCGACATTGCATTCTTGATTTTTACTGTAAGCATTAGCTTCATCTACTCACGTGTAACAACCTGACATGAAGAATTCACCAAACAAAACATTCCTTTTACTTGAGATATCTACTACGTGACAATGGTGTTTAGGTATAACTCTCCTGCTTTCTTTTTCTACTGCTATCTCTTGAAACCGTGACCAGGACTGTTCTGTGGAATTTACCACATGGTAAAACGAAATGACAGAAGGAGGGGAGTGTTTACAGTATTTCATGACCTTTCGACATTAGGGCCTAACTCGGGACATTCCGGACACACTCGGAAATCCTGTCAATGAAAGACGACCCAAGAGAGGGGAAGAGAGAGTCAGACACAGAAACACAACATCACCATAACACTCATGATGGCGTCCGTGTGCTTGAAAGTTGGCTTGGTTTCCTCTGGATTAGGTCTAACTTGTGCTGTTATGGCCATAGCCAGTTCTATGTGGTTAAGAATTCGTTACCCATTCTTGAAGAATGACATTGGTTTGATGCGTCATTGCGATGTAGACAGCGATTATTGTGGTGACATGGAACGTCTGGATGCTCTGGTTGACGTTCGCTATGCAGGTTGGTAAACAAAGGCGAATTAGGGAGGAAGGTCGTGGAAGGAACAACATTCGTCAGAGGTTTAAACAAAAAGAGGGAGGTTTAATATATGTGGATGATATTTCTTTTTTTGTTTGGGATAAAGCAGTCGCAGGGGGACTGGACAGCATAGAGGTGGTATAGATCTAGTCTAGATCTAGAATAGAATCCACCTCTCTGTCTAAATTACGAAAGGTTACCGTACTCGATTCGATCATAATTCATAGCGTCCTACTCCAGGCTCGAGATGGTTCTAGGCTACATCTAAGATCTAGATTTCTAGATCTAGATATCTAGAGATATAAGATTCTAGATCTAGAAATCTAGATCTAGGCCAGTCCTTGTGTCTGGTCCTAGCCTAGACAGATGTAATGCCGAGAAGTGAATCGAAGAGACAGGAGATAGAATCTATTCTTGTCATCCTAGTCTAGTACAGTCCGTGGCGGCTTTAAGCACGCCGGCCGTAAGCACGTTTCGGACTCAAGCACGCTAAACGGCTCTTACCGAATTTTTGCTATTTAATTTGGGAGTGTATACAGACCCGGTAACCGGGAATAAAGTCACAAAGTATACAGACCCGGTAGGGGAACTCTTTTGTGATTTCGGAAACTTTCAGCACCCTCTTGGCTCAGGGTAGAACTAGGTTCTTCTAGATCTATGGCCTAGGTCTAGATCTAGACAGACAGAGATATAAATCATTGATCTAGTTTCGAGGCTAGCCTAGAGATCTAGACTGTAGATCTAGATTCTAGATCTAGATTCTAGATCTAAAACTAAATGAAGATTGCGGGGGTGTCTTTTCGATGAACGATCGTTTTTCCCCTGTTTTGGAGTTGGAGGAATCACAATTTGAAGAAAAGAACAATG